CTTGACTTGAAACAGACTTGACTTGAAACAGACTTGACTTGAACAGACTTGACTTGAACAGACTTGACTTGAAACAGACTTGACTTGAACAGACTTGCCTTGAAACAGACTTGCCTTGAACAGACTTGCCTTGAACAGACTTGACTTGCAGTCGGGGAGGAATTAAAAGCAGAGACCTAAAGTCGCACACTTTCTGCTCCCGGTAGTGACGCTCTCACGGTGTTTGCATACTTTATCACAGACGAAGTGAATTAAAAGCAATATCTGTCAAATACACAGAACCATTTTTATGAGCAACAGAAACACTTTTTATACAGTGCCATCAGTGTGAATAAAGTTCAGCATATAAACATATAGGATACTAAATACTGATACAGTGGGGGAATATACGCTTTTATCAGTGTTTTTGATAAAAATGACTCCAGCTAACAGTGCAACTACACTAAAAAAGCTTTTACTGTTATAAAAACACAGATTTGTGAGCATCATTGGAATTGAATTGTTAGAATAAACACGCACATGTTCTGCTGTTTGGATCTACACTAGTCAACATTTGAAGTGGATCAAAAGCTTTCATCAAAGTTGTCCTAAAACCAAAATACATTCTTGTCTTAGGACAACTTTGATGAACTTTTTCTCCCCCACTTCAAATGTTGACGACTGTATTTTTTGTTTTCTAAAATTTGCAAACATGCTGATATTTGGGAAATGGCACGCTTCCTATAATATGTTATAAACAAATGTCAAAATAAATTATCTTAAGAAGATTTATTGTTCATTGACTATGTCGGTTTACTTCACCCAAAAGTGTTAGGGAGGGATTAGGAAAAACTGACATAACATATACACAATGGTATTATTAAAGCACCCGATAATAATGTGAAACGTGATTGTTTTACATGTCTAAAGCATATAAAGTGAATAAACTAGTCTTCATCAGCTCAGCTTTTTGCATAAACCATGAGAAACCTTAAAAACGTTAATTTCCCCACATCACATGTTCACAGACAAATCACAACAAATCCATTCCTCGCAAACTCCTGAAAAGTCTGTTCCAGTGCTGCAGGTGTTCAAGAAAGAGCTTTCTGTTGCCATGTGTGTGCTTGATGAGGAATTACATCTGAGACACCTTTAAGGTGAAACGCCGGGTATCTGCTTCTTCAGATCTGACCTGTGAAGACCACATGAGGAACTGGGTTATTTTTATAAAGGCAACGTTATGATAAATTGAGCCGGCCGCAGCACTGCCTTCGGTACTGAAGTGACTGAAGCGTTCACACATCACCAAAGACTCGGGACGTGTTGAGTGACTAAAGCTCACATAGTGAAGGAGATACACACGGCACAGCAGTGGAGCTTCAGGACTAAAATTCCCATTCAGTCTGAAAATACACTATATCCATAAACACGTGTGATTTAAAGGGACTATTCGGCCAAAAGTGATCATTCCGTCATCATTTGACTGAACGATCCCTTTAAGAATCATAAAGTTGCTGTGAAGATGACTAGTCTAATGAGATGTGTGCGCTGCCATCTGAACTATAGAGAAACACAAGGAAGCTTCTTAAACAACATACTGTCGCTATGACAACCGAGAAAAATTAAGCTCTTTCTATTTGGAGAAACTCTTACATAACCGACCACTGTATGACTAACCCTTTCAGTTTTACAACTCAGATCCTCGTTTGATTCATATTCAGCTTGGACTCAAAATGATAATAAGTGAAATTCAGACAAACAAACAGTTAAACACATCATATCATCTGAGATCATCGTTTATGAATGTTTTAATTGTGGGTCTGCGGTGTTGGGAAGGTTACTTTGGAAATGTAATAAGTAGTTACATTTCAATTACTTTATTAAAGTAATGTAACTGATTACATTTGATTACTTTTGGATTACTTTTCTACATTTCTAACCAAACTCAATCAAACTGAACAAAATCATTAACATTTTCAGAAGTAACTGTAATTTAATGACACATTTTTTTCTCAGTAACTGTAACAGATTACAGTTACATTTATTTTGTAATGAAATTACGTAATTACGTTACATGTAACTACTCCCCAGCACTGGCCGTGTGTATCTGAAGAATCATCTGAAATCAAACCCGTGAATCTTTAGGACGTTTGGGGTCTCTATTAAAAGGCAAGTGGCTTTTAACAATACATTGTATGGGCCAAAATTATCCATTCTTCTTTTATGCCAAAAATCATTAGGATATTAAGTAAAGATCATGTTTCATTAAGATATTTAGTAAATTTCCTACCGTAAATATATTGCATTGCTAAGAACTTCATTTGGACAACTTTAAAGATGATTTTCTCAATATTTAGATTTTTTTGCACCCTCAGATTCCAGATTTTCAAATAGTTGTATCTCAGCCAAATATTGTCCTATCCTAACAAACCATACATCAATGGAAGCTTATTTATTCAGCTTTCAGATGATGCATACATCTCAATTTAAAAAAATGTACCCTTATGACTGGTTTTGTGCTCCAGGGTCACATATATGAGTGGACATTTCCCCAAACTCTGCTCGAGGACGACGCTCAGGTGAATGGATGAAGATGAAGGCCGGCTGGATGGAATGAGCGGCGGAGGGATCTGCGTCATGCGCTCAGGCCATCCGCTCTTCCGCCCAGTTTTCCGACGTGATGCGCCTGCGCTGAAAATGGAGTTCGCGTAAAGCAGACCCCACAAACTTCCCAGGAAGAATTCCCATCGTTTGCCGCGTTCCTGTCACGCATTCTGTCCCAATCTAAGACTCTGGTTGGCCTCCGCGCTGAGGAAGCGTACAGCAGCTGGGTGTTCCGTGTGAAGTTGTCGCCGGATCACGTCGTGTGGGTTTTCCAAACTCGCTGTCGCTGGGATTTTTGTGGGATCAGGATGAGGAAGGCGCCGATGGTTCCCCCGCTGGATGGGATTTATCGCTCAGATGGATGGAAGTGCTGCTTTCACCGCTTCCACACACCCTTCCCGTTCTGAGTCCAGTGTCTGGGCTTCTTCTCGAGCGCTGTTTCTCAGGAGCGATAACCGAGAACATGGAGATATTTGCGCTTTACTTCCCCGCCGTCAGTGCGAGCTCGACCATATTTCCAGGATTTGGATCCCCGTGAGAAAAAATGAGCGAAGAATCAAATCCAAACAGCGAGTAAGTGCGCAGATGCCTAACTTACACAACACAGAATAGTCTGGTATTTGCCTGAATGTGTCTCATATATCCTCAGATGTGTGTGTGTGTGTGTGTGTGTGTACGTGTGTGTGTGAGAGAGAGAGAGTGTGTGTGTGTGTGTGTGTGTGTGTGTCTATAAACTCATGTCTGTTATATCTTGTTTGATCGATCACTTGAAAACTGTAACAATCACTTCTATATATCGCCTGGTTTGATTATTGTAGCGAATGACAGATGGTGCGCTGTCCACTAGTGTAATGGAAAGACTTATTTTGACTCTAAATAATGAAAATGATGAGTAAGTTATGTAATAGAGCTGTGTAGTAAGATGTGAGTGCTGCTCGTCACAGCTCGCTGTGTTTGTGCGGAATGTGTAACGCTCAGTGTAGTGTTCTTTACTGAGATCCAGTAGCGCAGCGTCAGGCCGTGTCTCAAACCCTGGCGAGCCGCCTATCTAGACACGCAGCCTCAGAGCGCCATGTTTTCTCAATCATCACAGCCCTCATTCATAAAAATGTCCGAAACGCGAGAGATGACCGCAGCTTTCGCTGCTCCGCGACGGTTTTCTGTGGATTGTTCGCTGTTTTGAGGTTAATGAGCGATATTTGTGTGAATGTTCGCTTCTGAAGCGCCGCTCGCTGACCGCGCGAGAGAGACGGAGCTGCGCTGGTCACGTGACCCGCCTCCATTCATAAAGAACCCGCGTGTCCATTCTCACACACACACACACACACACACACACACACACACTCTCTCTCTCTCTCTCACACACGCACACACACACACACACACACACACATCTGAGGATATATGAGACACATTCAGGCAAATACCAGACTATTCTGTGTTGTGTAAGTTAGGCATCTGCGCACTTACTCGCTGTTTGGATTTGATTCTTCGCTCATTTTTTCTCACGGGGATCCAAATCCTGGAAATATGGTCGAGCTCGCACTGACGGCGGGGAAGTAACACACACTCACACTCTCTCTCACACACACACATTCACACTCTCTCACACACACACTCACACTCACACACTCACAGACACACACACTCACACACACTCTCTCTCACACTCACAGACACACTCTCTCTCACACACACACTCACACTCTCTCTCACACACACACACACACACACACACACACTAACACACTCTCACACACACACTCACTCACACACTCTCACACTCTCACACACACACTCACACACTCACTCACACACACACACACACACACACAC